AAATGGTGACTAAACACATTAAAATGGCTGAGAAAGCCACTGGGGGGGACATTCTGAGCTTTCGATTGGTTATTTACATGTCGTATATTGAAGTAAGTGTATATAAGGGACCGTTTCAAAAAATGGAAAGAGGTGAGCAGGGCCACTATGTATGATTCAGTACATGAATATCTCAGCAAATAGAAAAGATACGAGGCTCTTATTTTATATTCTAGCTTGTCACTATCGGTAATTTTAGTTCCTAATTCGTGCAAGCTACAGACGTAGTATTTTGACATCACAAACGTCTAATTTGAACCAGTGCTGCATTCAACATACCACATGATACACAAAAATTGATGTTTAACTGTGTTTTGTAATATTTACTTTTAAATTAAGAAATTGAATAATGTATAATGCTAAAATTTGAATTATATTCTAGAGTTTGATACCAAAGTTACTGACATAAATTCATGAAATAGTAGTTCATTAAAATTTTGAATGCGAGTTAACGAACGCAATGACATTGCCTTTGACCCGTGACCCGTCTGGAAAGGGTTAATCAGTAATGGTTGATCTGCTGAGGATTTTCAAAAACTTGTACGTCTTGCAACTGTGTAAAATGACCAAATTTAACACTAAAGATCACGACACACTGCTCACAATTTATTTTGTCTCCATCAGACAGTTTCAGTTGATCAATTCTTTTTTTTATGAAGAAAATCATTATTAAAAGTTTTGACAAAAATTCTTTTTTAACTTTAATATCTAAAAAAATGTGCAGCATTTTATGTCAAACTATATGTTGATGTATTGCTTTTTTCATAAAAGAACTGTATCATTTATCATTCACTCTAGTCTGTCAGATTTTGTGTTATTGTATCCTCCACTTTAGCCTGTCTAGCAGATTTAGTGTTATTTTCTAGTTCACTTTAGCCTGTCTCAGATTTTGTTATTTTATCATTCACTTTAGCCTGTCTATCAGATTTAGTGTTATATTATCATTCACTGTAGCCTGTCTATCAGATTTAGTGTTATATTATCATTCACTTTAGCCTGTCTATCAGAATTAGTGTTATTTTCTCATTCACTTTAGCCTGTCTAGCAGATTTAGTGTTATTTTCTAGTTCACTTTAGCCTGTCTCAGATTTTGTGTTAATTTCTCCATCACTTTAGCCTGTCTATCAGATTTAGTGTTATTTTATCATTCACTTTAGCCTGTCTAACAGATTTAGTGTTATTTTATCATTCACTTTAGCCTGTCTAACAGAATTAGTGTTATTTTCTTGTTCACTTTAGCCTGTATAACAGAATTAGTGTTATTTTCTTGTTCACTTTAGCCTGTCTAACAGAATTAGTGTTATTTTCTTGTTCACTTTAGCCTGTCTATCAGATTTAGTGTCATATTATCATTCACTTTAGCCTGTCTAGCAGAATTAGTGTTACTTTCTCGTTCACTTTAGCCTGTCTAACAAATATATAGTGTAAAATATAATTGCTTCCATTTTTTGTTATTTGAGTTGTCATAGAAATTAGAATTTCATGTTCTTCCCCACAGGGTTTTTCAGTTGAATTTAATTTTAACATGTTTTATAATAATTTCTTTAACAGCCAACTCAGTTCAGAAGATGGTTAATCAAATAGGAACTGCACAAGATTCTGAAAGTTTACGTTCTCAACTGTAAGTTGAGTTTTCTGTCCCTTATTTCATTTGCTTATGACAGTTCTGGATAATCTGTTGAACTCTGAGGATAAACTTTTAATTTTTTTAGGAAGCAAACCGTGCGATTTGTTATCAATGTTTTGACTTCAGCAATGTTTGTTTCTGTATTATGAAATATACTTCATTAAGTTCAATTCATACAAAACTTTGGTGTTTGTGTAGAGATTAATCCAGGCTTCATTTAAGTTTAAACCACCTATTCCAATGCGACCAAATATAGTATGATAAAAAATTTCACAAGCAAGTTAAAGATCATTTCTGAATTTATTTTATAAAATATGCATAAAATTACAGTAAAGCTTTTGCTTGTTCACATTTATGAATGCTAGTTTTTAAACAGTCTTTTAGTTTGTGTTGTTGAAACATATGCTTGGTGTTTTATTCATTTGTTAATTAAATGTTTGGGTTTTACAATAAATTTTTTCCTATGAGAAGAATCGTTGCAACTAGAACTGACAATGTTCTCTGACGTGACGTCTTTAAAGCACTCTGTGCCTTAGAATGTACAAATTATTTATTCATCTGTTACGTTTACTCACTTCCTCAGTATTTCTTTTCATGATTTGTTTTAGAAATTATAGCCATGCATTCTCATGTTGTTTCTTCAAGCTTTTATGTAACTGAATCTTAATTGAAACTATATTGTGGGTTGATAGTTCAAAAAACCCAGACAGACACGTGTTATTGCTCTAACAATGGGTGACAACCCCCTATAATCATGGGTTAAAGTTTTCTGACTGCACAATATCTGACTAACTAAATGATAATTGTCTTTGAATTTTATTTAATGTTTAGTTTAGTGGACTGGATGGTCTAGATGAACCAGTATAGATCCCTTGTTATCCTTAGATTACATCTTTTATTAAATTATAAATTAGCCAGAGACTTTAAATGTTCAAACTTCTAACAAGTGAAAAGTTTAAAAAGCTAAGAGAAAAAGAAAGATGTCATGTTGATAAGATAGGTCAGCATGCTCATAGTTACTAACTTGTTCCATGTGTATTTATGTTGCAGATTAATTTATAAATCTTTGGAACTTAAAGATTACAACTCTTAATTCCAGTTTTATCTTCCAGACATCATGTTCAGAACTACACCAACCAGTTGGCCAAAGACACCCATCGATATTTGAAAGAATTAACATCGTTGGCTGAATCTTCAAGCCATCCTTATCAGGTGTGTTTATTATCAGAACATGTAAAGGTTTTAAATACATATTTACACCATATAACCATCCATGTGCCACTCTGTATTATTGGTATTCATGAAAAAGTACTTATTGGTCAGAAAAATTAACGTAAAGATTCATTTAACTCTCTGTTAAACATTAAGATGACAGTTATATAAGCTAGTGTTATCTGTTTAACATTAAGATGACAGTTATATAAGCTAGTGTTATCTGTTAAACATTAAGATGACAGTTATATAAGCTAGTGTTATCTGTTTAACATTAAGATGACAGTTATATAAGCTAGTGT